CCATTGGCCAGAACAGAAGAAGAGGAAGAAGAAATGGAGCAAAAACAATATGTTTTCCTTCGGTAAACATAATGAACAAACAAACAAACAAACGTACAGGATGGCTTCCGGGGGCATCCAGCGAACCGGCAGGAGGGACTTGGACTGCACGCGGTAGTAGTCGGAGGAGTAGATGTCGCGGGACAGACCGAAGTCGGAGATCTTCACCAGTAGGTTGTCCCCGACGAGACAGTTTCGGGCGGCGAGGTCCCGGTGGCAGAAGTGTTTGGAGGCGAGGTAGTCCATCCCTGCAGCCACCTGTACAGTAGGGGCATTGTCATTAGATAGCTTTAAACATGGTTAGACTTACATGTTCAAGGGCTAGGTGTTTGGAAGTGAGATAGTCCATCCCGGCTGCCACCTGTATGTCAAATGTCATATTGCGTTACTTAATGATCATTTATACTCAATTTCACTTGAGTCTAGTGGGGAAAGCCATGTAAAGTGCCTTTCACAAGGGCACAAGATCGGTGGCATGTCAGGACTCGAACCCGGGACCTCTTGATTCCGAGTCACGCATGCTGCCATTGCGCCACACAACCCAACATGCAAATAAACAAACAAATAAACAAAAAACAAACCTGGTTTGCCACGCAGAGGAAATCGGTGTGGTCCAGCGATGAGTGGGATCCTGCGTCGTCCGAGCTCCCCCCTACGTCAGAATGTGGCGATCTCATCACGAGAAACTCGTGCAGATCTCCGTACCGCATGTACTCAAACAGCATGCACATGGGGTGGTCGCGCATCACTACCCCCAGCAAGCACACAATATTCTGGTGACGAAGATCTGCCAACATGTCCACCTGGGGTTGTGCGGAGTACAAGGGAAAACAAACGATAAATGTTTATATAATTAGTTTGATAAATTTTTTGCCAACACTTCAACCTGCAGTCGTAAATAAAAAGTAAAGTGTTCAGTTTGATACGCCATCAAGCAACTAGGATATGATTTTGGAAACGGTCAGATGTTATAGGTACAAGGTCCGCCAACATGTCCACCTGGGGTTGTACAGGAAAGGGAAAATACAGGGGAAAACAACGATAAGTGTTCAGTTTGATACGCCAAAAAGCAGTTACTCAAGCAACTGGATATGATGTTGGAAATGGTCAGACGTTTCAGGTAGCATCCACTAGCTTTCATCAGTGACCAGAGGAGAAATGCAGGTTTATAAGCACTGGTCAAGAAAAAGCAAAACACAGGTAAAACAACGATAAGTAAAACATGGATGGATCACGATTCAGTAGTAGTTCGGTGGTTCCTGTTGCTGAAATACTGATGCTGGTCATTATTTTGATTGTTTAGTTTGATAAATTTTATCTGCCGAGGTGTCCTGAAATTTCATATACAAATTCAATCCTGCTGTCAATCTCTTATGTTCTACCTTGGTTCTACGTTACTAAGGCAATATGTAACCCTGGTGAAATAAAACAAACAAACAAACAAACCTCTCGGTGGAAGTCGTGCTGAGTTTTCAAGGTCGCGTTCTCCTTGAGCGTCTTTATCGCCACCAGGATCTTCTTGGCGTCTTCGCCTGACCCCGTGACCACCAGTTCACCTTTGTACACCTGAGTACGAACACGTCCGAATATGTTTTTCAGTACATAGTAAGCCTGGCTGCAGTACATGTTGAGCCTGTATCACATACATGTAGCTTCGCTGTGCATGTAACACCTCAAGCTTCAGTGCACAGTAAACCAGTAACACCTAGCTATATAGTCAGTATACGGTGAAGCATCTAGTTCTTAGAAACTTTATGTTTAGTTCTTTATGCACCTTTTACCAGTTGCACTAAAGGCAAAGCCGTGTGAAATGAAACAAGACTTAGTGATAGGCAAGGTAAAATCCTAACAGATAGTAGATGTAACTTTAGTGTATACTAGAAAGGTAACATTTGCAAAGCAAATGCAGAATGTTTATCTTCACTTGGTCAAGCCCAACAGACTGCTGCACTGTGCACAGTCCCCTTGCTTGACAGTTGGATGCTCTATCCACTACACCACACAAACCCCACTAAATATGTAACATTATAAGTGTAAAAAAAGTTAAAAGTTTCACCTTGCCAAAAGCGCCCTCTCCCAGCTCGGTGAGGAAGCGCACGGCCGCGATGGGAAACTGCGGGCACCGCGGAACGTGCTTCGCGAACAGGTTCTGCAACGGGATCGTCTCACTGGCGGAACCCTTCACCGCTGCCCGGTTACCGTTGCCGCGGGCATCTCCATGACGACGGCACGTGCAGTAGATGAAGAAGATGAGCGCGATAATGAGGGGAACGGAGATGCTCGGAACCAGGATGATGATCAGGCTCATGATCTGGTCACTCCCACCCTCCGGCATTTCTGTGGAGCAACAGAGACACCTAGCATCAGGCAACGGTACTGCAGAAACCTAGCATGAGGCAACGGTACTGCAGGCAGAACAAGCAGTGCAACAACCTTCAATGACTGTTTAGAAGCAAACTTGGTCCTTTCCTAACTGGCATTTCTGTGCAGCAACAGAGAGACCTAGCATCAGGCAATGGTACTGCAGCAGAACAAATAGACTTAAGTGCAACAACCTTCAACAACTGTTTAGAGTAACGAAGCAAACTTTGTCCTTTCCTAACGAGGTGAAGTTAATGAGCTGAAACCTGCTATAAGGCCACATTAATTCACCTTCTTGGTTCTCAGACGTTTCTTGGTTAAAGTTCAGCAAAAGGTCAAGGTCAAAGCTTGCATGTTGACCTTCCAGATCAGCATTATCTCAGAAAAACATCCGAGAACCAAGAAACCTGTTCAATGTGGCCAAAAGGAGGGAATGAATGAATGATTTAGTGAGGAAACTTGGTGACCTGTGGGAAGGTTTGACTGTTGCCCAAAACATGAAAAATCTGAAGCAAAACAAAAATGGTTGGTTGTTAGATGACCTGTGCACTTTGACCTGTGACATGTTCAGCGAACTGGATACCATTAGCAATGAGGAACTGAAAATAAACAAAAGGAAATTTTTAATGAGAAAAAAAGAACAAAAAAAAAGAAAAAATGCTGGTTAATTCGCGATGTTTTGCACCTTACATCCCGGCGACCTTGACTGCCCTTGCCACCATGACAAGATGGAGGCATACTCACCGCCGTCCACGTAGAACTTTACGAACAGCACGCCGGTGGTGCCGACGGCCTCCACGCCGTTATTGGCCACGCACCGGTAGTACCCGGTGTCGTCGGTCACCACGTGACGAATCAGGAGCCGCGACTCCCACCTGTAATGGCGCATCTCGACCCGCGGGTTTAGCGCGGCCAAAAGCGGAACGTCGTTCTTGTACCAGCTAAACGCCGGGAGGGGGACGCCGCCCTCGACCGTACGCACGCGGCACACGAACGTGGCCGAACCGCCCTCCAGGACGGTCACGTTGTTCAGCCGGTTCAACCGCCCGGGAAGATAGCGAACTGCGGAGGAACGGACAACGGAACATGGACAACAGTTTCACATGGGTTAGAAACTATCAGTCGGCTATTCCGAGATCAGGGTGCGCCAAAGGGTTGCACTTGGGCCAATTTTTCAAGTTTTATATTTTTCTACTTTCAGTGCAGAAAATCGCACTAGAAGTGTTACCATACAGTGCACTTTTTAAATTTTTGGATAGAGACGTTCAGTTCAAAAGTTGTGCTCTTCCAAACTTTAGCCCACTCATTTCAGATGTGGCCGGCAACGGACACTACAGCTAAGCTGTAGTGTCCGTTGCCGGCCACATCTGGCCGCTCAAGTACATGACAAGAACACCAAATCTTGCAAGACCTGTCATTTAGGGGTTGACAAAATGCTACAGAAATAACATAAATGAAAAATTACTTCAAAATTGCAACAAAATGTAATTAATGTACCTATATGGTATACTTGGCAACGGACACTACATGGCAACGGACACTACACCCTTGAGGTTTTTTGACATTATTTCATATAATTACAGCAATAGACTGAAATAGCTACTGTGTTTTAAGTCAGCATCTTCAGCTGTTTCAAAACCTGAAATCATATGCACCCACAGCTTTTCTATTTTAAGTTATTACCGAGCAACGGACACTACACATTTTCTCGGACAAAAAAGACAGGTAACTGTAAGCCATCAGCCATATTAACCCAAAGGACAAGCAACATAAAAACACATGTTTTGTGTCATATATGGATGTACCTTGCATAACATGCAAAATGGCCAGTTCTATCACCATCCTTTTTAGTACAGGGAGATAAGTTAGTTGCAATGTGTTAATTTATGAATTTTACATAACGTGTACAACATATTGATAAATACGCTCTAGAAAAGAGAAATTTCCAATCATCATCAGGTTTTTTGCAAAAAATATCAGACTGAGCATGTCTGAACATATTGCAAACCTTTTCATTCCATTTTTTTGTTCCCAAATTACTTAAAAGCATATTTCAAAAACTGGCATTTTTCAAGTGCAACAGCATAACGTAGATTTTATGCCAATTTCTGGTCTTAAATTGGCCATAGCATAAGTTTTAAACATCTTAAAACACTGGTCGCATCAATTTTGGAAAGTCACAAGGCATTTGGAAACTCAAGTAAAAATTGATTTTCAATATTCAAGTTTCACATCAGTGTGTAGCTCTTGGTGTAATGAGCACAGTGATATGAAAATTATTGTTCTGCAGTGTTCATAACTTAAGATATCATTAATAATAAATACAAGCAGACCGGTGGTCTTTCCTAACAGCCCGTCAGGCCTAACAACTAGCCTGCAAGTTTTAACTACAGGACCTTCGGTCTAAAGGCACTAGACTACATGTGTAGAATCCCAGCCCGCGGGCTGATTTACTCAAAAACCATTCAGACCGTCAGGCTAACTTCACTCCGCGGGCTGAAAATTCTGGTCAAAGTGGTGCAAAAAGCCCAAAACAATGGCATGGAAGGCGTGAATTGATTGATGTTTGCAGACTGTCTGTGCCAATTTCAGCCTGGTGGGGTAAGGATTCAGACCTCACGGACTACATCTCAGCCCGCGGTCTGATCCAAGTGATGTGTAAAACTTCATTCTCAGAGCAGAAAATAAGGAAGGAGAGAATAATCCACACCCATCTGTTAACAGTGTTGTACATTTTTGCCGCTTTCAACCTCATTCACTCACTCAATCACTCAGCTTCACATGCTCTTTCCACTACATGTAGACCACAAAAAAGAAAGAAGAGCTTACAAACACGTTCTGTACCAGCTAGGGGTAGAAAATGAAACAATTTTTTCTCATGAGCATCCTGAATGTCATTGAAGTTCAGTTCAGTTCAGTTGAAACATTGGGAAAATTATGTTACAGACAGTTTTGCCAGACAAAATTCTAGTACTATATAATATGAGCAAGAAGCCTAATACATGCATTGCAACTTAAACCTGCTTTCAAGCAATGGAGTTATAAAATCCTCAGTCCATTTCTGTTCAACCATGGTTCAACAGTTCTCAGGTAATTATTCTGATCAAGGAACAATTGTTATGCGGGATGAAACTAAGTTTAGCTATTGTTCTTGACATGCAAATGCCACTGTCCAATTATCAAGTTGGACTATTGTTGAGTTACACGTCGAATTACAGTACCCCTATCTGGGCAGCTTGACTACTGGGTCACCCAGTAGGAGCCTGAAAAGATGACCGACTATCTTAAAAAATAAAACTAGGATTCTCATCATTAATTTCTTGTTCATAATCTAAATCTAATCTAATCATAATACTACAAACTAGTTGAGGGATAGAAAGATTTGGCCAAGACATGGTTCTCAACGTGTGAACCCAGGCCATCTGACACTGTCATTATATACAATGTCATAAGGTTTTCTGATTGGATATTTTTTCGGGCTATTGAGCTACCCAGTGCAAGCTGCAAAGACCATGTCACCCATGTCTGGGTACTAGTAGCCCGACCAGACTCTCTAATTTGATAATTGGACAGGTATGAATGATAACATGCATGGAAATTAATTTTGAAAATTTTCTTCCTGCAGGAAATTTCTGCAGGAAAAACCTACTAAGACATTGTAGATTCCTGCAGATAGAATCCTTCCTAGAAATTTCGGCAGGAATGACTGTATAATAAATATATACAACTGTTAGGCCACACCAATATACATGTAATGTAGTCTCCACCAGACTCCTTTGCAGGCTAAATAAATAGTAGCAATCGGCTAAGGCATGGAGGTAGCTCCATGGCTAAGGGGAACATCATTGGCCAGAGGAGTTGGCCGGCCATAGAGACTAAATATAATGTCATTACTTGTTTCTCAGACTCATTCACTTGAAGAAGAATCCTGTTCTATAAAATTACAACATTACATCAATATTCTCTCAAGGTCACCTTAGTAATTGATCAATGATCATCTGATTTTTTGTATGTCATGACAATTCATGCAGTCTGATAACTCAATGAATGCTTTTGCTTCGGAAGCAAAAGCATCCCCTTTCTTCAGTTGTAAACACGTCTAACATTGATCAGATTCTGACTGGAGACTAACTTCAAGTTGTTGCTTGGAAGTTAGAACTTGTTAATTTTATCATAATCACCTCCCCTCCCCTTTTGTCACCCATTTTTAAAGAAACTGTGTTCTTTGTGTCTAGGGGATAACAAGCCTTTACAATGTAATTCATAGGCTTATTGAGGGATGTCTATTATCACTCTATGGTGACATTTCCTTGGGCAAATGTTGGCCCTCCAGGAGCCAAGGAGCTAGCCTGGCAGCAGTCTGGTACCCATGTAACAGTGGGGGGGTTATAGGCGCTACAGCTCGCCCCTGTTTCTTACACCCAGGCTACCTGGTCTGCTATCATACATGTACATCCTGCGCTGTACAAGCATTTTACGTTCTGTTCCTAAATTTTTGGGAAATATCCAAACTGAATGAACAGCTCTTTTCATTATATATATAACCTATTTGAGATGTTTCACAAATATTGTAACAATTAGAAAATTTTCTACTTTTTTTAAATCATACTTTGAAATTATCTAGAAACATTGTGTTTTTTTTCGAAATGGTTACAATTTGTAATGTGGAATATAGCAATATAGAATTGACTCTAGGCCTTGGGCAAGCACTTCCAATTAAATTGTAATTTAGACTTATTACAAATCCTGTAAAGATTCTCATCATTAATTTTTTGTTCATAATCTAAATCTAATCTAATCATGACACTACAAACTAGTTGTGGGATAGAAAGATTTGGCCAAGACATGGTTCTCAGCGTGTGAACCCAGGCCATCTGACACTGTCATTACAATGTCATGAGATTTTCTGATAGGATATTTTTTCGGGCTATTGAGCCAGTGCCAGTGCACCCATGTCAGGGTAGCCCGACCAGACTCTCTAATTTGATAATTGGACAGTGGTCATTTGCATGCCTGGAACAATAGGTGACCTGAGGTATGACCCGCATGACAAAGGTGCAGGAACAGAATAATTACAAAAGAAAATGTAACATGAATTTCCTAAAGCATTGTACAACTCCTTGCACTGAAAGCAAGTTCATGTTGCAAATTGAGGATCGATTCCTTGCTTTTTATGTTTTCAGTGTACATCGGCTGAGGCTTATACATGGCAGGATTATGGCACTAAAACTCCAAATGTTTTCCTTTTGATTTAAATGTTTCCATGGAGTTATTGTTTATCTGTTAACCATGTCCATTCATCTTGTTTTGTTGTGACCTGTACTTAGCCAAGTCTTCATTCTTTAAAAAAAAAGATAAATTTCTACCCCCATGATGTTTCAAAGGGATTTGGCCAGGGGAGTTGCCCATCCATAGTAGGACAGATTGGACTATACCTGCCAAACAGAAACTGTAAGTGACCATGAAGTGTCCTCAAAAGTTGGCTTCCAACACCACAACCAATCAGGTCTAATATGAAGTGTTCTTGCTGAGACAAGGGTCTTTTATGATGCTATCTGATCTTTTTTAGTCATAACCGTTACACAAATGTTACACCCCGCCCAGGTATCAGCCCAGGTAGCACAGCAGGAGCAAAATCCACCTCCTCAAACATGTTCAAAAAGCTTTCTACTAGAAAGAGACTTTTTGCAGTCTTAATAGCAGAACAATTCTTCCCATGTACAGGAAAAATTCTTCCAGTAAAAATTTCTGAAGCTTTTGCAGAAAATGTTCAAAATGAATATTCATGAAAGTTATCATCATTCATACCTGTACATCATACTTGTCAATAATATGTAATCACTTATTGAAAATATTAGCTGAAAATGTGAAGGGTGTTTATTAATATGAAGTGATATGAAGTGAAGTGTAAACCATCATCAATCTGGAAGCATCAATTTGGAAGCATATTTTTGTTTCCCACTTTCTGTTTGGTGTTTAAAGTCTGAAGGTTCTCTATCATAAGGCCTAATCATCAGCCCAGCCTGTCCACAGACCGACAGGCCGGTTCAGGCCCGCGGGCTAACCATTGAGCCCAGACCTCTCATGAATTTATCACAAACTTGTTAATTACACAGGTGTGAAAATGTGAATTCTCATTAATTCAGTGGTTTTCATGGGGTGTTCATGAGGCTAATTGGATGCGGTCTGGATGCGGGCTGGCTAACTCAGGCCGCGGGCTAAAGTTTAGGACTGCCAGGCTAAGCTGCTGGGCATGACGGTGTGTGTTCTAGACCGCCAGGCTTGCAATTTTTAAAGTCAAATATCTTGATAAATTTGTACATTCTGACCATAAAAAAAGCAACCTGGTACTGAAGATAGCATGATCTTTCCAATGGCATGCAAAAGTTCACTGTACATCCAGGAATAACAAAGTTGAAAATCAGGGGTTTCAAC